CACCAATCTCCTCGGTCCATTTCTCAAGAGCGGAACTAAGCGCTCTCTCTCGTATGCGTTCTTGTATCTGATTGGTGACGCGAATTCCTTCTGCCTGTATCGCGCGCGTGTCGGTGAATACGCATCTATATTTTTCCGCCTGCAGTTCCACAGGAATGATTCTAGCTAGGAGGAATGCGGCCGGAATACGACACAGTCCTATACGCCGCCACAATTCTAAGGGCAATCTTGCGTTGCACCGCACGGATCTTTTGAGCCACCCCTCGGTCCACACTCAAGGTTGGCGCCCATACCGGGGCCCCATAAAATATAATAGATTGTATAACTGCTCCGTACAATCTCCTTGATCCCTCTTTTGGTCCTCTCAGATTTGGCATAATTCTGGCCAGTGCTAGCGCCATCCTCTCCGCCTTAGGAAGAAGCTGAGTAAAATGCTCTCGGAAAGTCCACCTTCTGCTGAGCACCAAACCTAGATATTTCAATTTGGAATTCAAAGGGACCATGGTGCCCCCTACCATAATTCCACTATCACGCACCACCCTACGCGCTCGGCTGAATGCGCAGGCTTCAGTCTTGTGCGGGGAGATCCGCAAACCGAGTCTCTCGATTCCCCTAACCACCACGGATGTTGCTAACTCCACTTTCGCCCTGGCCTCGTCTAAGGAGTTACCCAGTGCCACTACCAGAGTGTCATCAGCGTAGCACAAGGTGTGGCAGCCCTCCGGCAGGTCCAGCTGGAGGATCTCATCAAAAGTCAATATCCATGCCTCAGGCCCATACGCAGATCCCTGCGGAACCCCACAAGTCATCGGGACCCTCTGCACTCCACCGCTGCTGTCCCCGTAGCAGATCCATCTATCCGAGAGGTAGCTATCCGTGATCACTCTGATATAATTGGGCAGCTCCTTCTTGATCAAGGCCAATCTGATCCGCGACCACGGCAGAGAGTTGAACGCATTGGATACGTCCAGCGAAACCGCCACTGCAGTGCGCCCCTCTTCGAACACCGGACTCAAGAGTTCTCTCAGCCGGAGCACCGCATCCACCGTGGAGCGCTCCGCGCGAAAACCAAACTGATGAGCCGACAGCCCCACTCCCAAAGCAACGCAGGCACGGACTCTTCGCACCACGATCCTCTCCAGCATTTTGCCCATTTCGTTCAGTAAACAGATAGGCCTATAAGAAGATGGAGCACGATCAGGCTTGTTCGGTTTCTTGAGAAGTACTAGCCTGGCTGTCTTCCAGCAAGCTGGAAACAGCCCCTCCCTA